CATGTTTGGTGAGACGGGGATTCGAACCCGCGACCCACAGATTGCGAGTCGAGCGTCCTTAATCACCTGGCCATGCCGAGCCTAAACGTGTTCAGAAGAAAGTCAATGTGAGGAGGTACTTAAGGTGGGATTAACTTTAGATTATTCTATTAACACTAAATATATCCATTAGCTCATTAATATATTTAGAAAATAGAAAATAAATCTATCAACTAACATTTCTATGCAAATATCTAGAGGCGTCACAAGGCACTAGCATACGGGGCCCATGCCCCGACTCTATTTGACAGTGCCCCGATTCAACAGTTGGTGTTTTGAAAAATCAGAATAGAATACCATGATCTATATCATATTGAGGAATAGAATACCATGATCTATATCATATTGAGGAATAGAATACCATGATCTATATCATATTGAGTAATAGAATACCATGATCTATATCATATTGAGGAATAGAATACCATGATCTATATCATATTGAGGAATAGAATACCATGATCTATATCATATTGAGAAATAGAATACCATGATCTATATCATATTGAGGAATAGAATACCATGATCTATATCATATTGAAACGCCGAAAGTTTCCACTCCTATGGGCCTGAACCTCGAACCTTTTTAAGCACCTAGCGACGTTTCTGCAAATATCAATGTGCCATTACTGACGTAACTTACTGTTTCGGTGAGAACCCAATACGTAGCCTCATATTTCAATGTTTGGAAAAAAACTGTCGTCAGCATAAACGGTGTAAATTTCTGTATAAAAAACAATACGATAGAAGAAAAATAAGTTAAGATATTATTCAGAAAAAAACAAGCATGGGATAACTGAAAAATTTAGTTTTATTTTACATCATCAAGCTAGGTTTACATTAGGAAGTGTCATCCGCCACAACTTTTTTTGTGTAGTGTACTGCACAGTAAAACAGCGGTTTTCAACCTAGTGCCCCTTGAATAAGCCAGTACTTTCTACGGAAACATTTACATTGTAAACTTGCTCAGTTGAATTAATGACATTTGCAAACCACTGACTACCACATTAAAAAACTGCATGCACTAAATTGTTAACACTTAAATGACTATCTATAACATCTTCGGGTGTTAAAAATCACTGCTATAGAACATCGTATACCCAGCACCAGCGGTCAAGTAATAACATATGCTTGTATGTGTGTGTAGATAGATTAAATGGGAAATAGTCATGAAAGAAAGAATTAGGCTGAGTTAGTGCCGGAGTATACTACAAAATAATCACCAAATTGTGAGATTCATTGTTAATATTTCTTCGTGGTAATTCTGTTATAGATGGCGAAGACTGCTGTAATGAGATCTTTATTCAACATAACAAACGAGCTCTATCAACAAGTCGCTGATTTGAAAAAGCTTACATTCTGTGGACTTGACACATTATTTTGTCATGATGTAGTCAATCAACTTAACGTTAGGAAGAGCAGGTTAAATGATAAAGCCAATCTACAAGTAAGACTTGTTCACTACATATTCTCGGTGTTCAGAAGAGTGTCTACTATTATTACGATACTTGGTTACCGCTATGATATATCAAATCTTTTTCTTGAATTTTCTGTACCACAAAAAAAATGTTATGCATTTAGTTACTGGCTTAGAGAATTATAAGAAAAGCATCTGTAACTATAAGAAAAATTTCTGTTTAGTCACAATTTGCGTGACCACTTTTCCCATCACGTGCATAACATTTTAATCACTAATCTTGTTAAGAACTGGTCCGAAACTATTAATGATATCTATAATATAAAATAACTTTTACAGCAAATGAAAATGAATTTGAAATAACGAGAAAAGCGCAACTCTTAAATGTAGATTAATATGCAGCAAAACCCGTTTCAAGATGCAATAGCATACTAATTCAAAGAACCTTGTATGGGCTGAGAACCATTGCTTTCTTTATTCCTAATTTCATTTAATTACGTGGCTGTAATATAATTTTTAATATGTTTTATATCTGCACGTTATTCATGATAATTGTTTCTCTATTCGTGTATTCCAAACGTTGCAACAAACATGTTAAAATTATTGCTAGATCTAATTCCTTTTCCTTATTTGTAATTTTTAATTATATTCCAACACCAAATTGTCATATAAACACCTGATATTGTCTCCTTATTTGTTATCTAGAAATATAGTTTCACTCAAACGTGCGTGATTATCATCAATAGTTATTGTTTCTGTTTAGTCGTTTGGTTGGAATGGTAAACTTTACATAAAGGTGATCAAGTTGAAAAACTATTTGAAACGTTTAAGCATAGAAGTGTGAAACTTACTTGACTTAGCAACAACTGAAGACAATGCAAACAACGTTGTATCATATTTAAAATGTATCAGACATCATATATATTGACAAAAGGTATTTTAAATGCTAATTTTGTCTTTGCTAATCGCTCCTACGAGGGAAAAAAAGGATGTCAATATTCAATATTCGTCTATATATTTATTTGTCGGTTAACTAGAAGTAAAATTATTGATAAAAATATCATCCAAACAACTCCTCTTGTTGGAGAATTTTGCCAAGTGAGGCAGTCTGGTCTTTAGCATTTGATCTACTAGCTTAAGCACTGAAAATATCTTACAAAATTTAAAGACAATCTAGATATAACTTCTTTCATGAATATAAATTCATTTAAAGTTCGTTGCCAAAGCTTAAAAAAATGTATATAGTTTCGATGTTTTATAATTATTCCAAACGAAAGGTAAAAACCTTTTCGTGAAAAATGTGAATGTGTATACATTTATATATATATATATATATACATTATATATATATATTTATTTTTAAGTGAATGAAGTACAGATATATAAATTACTTAAATCTTTTAGATAAGTTGAGGGAAGTTATAGTGGTCCTCAAAATGTATAACAATGGTTGGGCAGGTTGATGGGAGTCACAGTGGTCCCAAACATCATCATACACATTTGAACTTAAAACAGCAACAAAGAAAGGTGGTTTCGATACCTAGCCGCGGGTTACATTGTATTACTGTATGCTATACATATATAGAGTTGCTACTGTGTGTTCAGAAGCAAACACCTGTTACTCCCCATTTCGAAAACTTTTGGCCAATCACAGCTACCTCGTAATGCTACCACCTGTTTTTGTCGTGTCTCGATGTTCAGCAGACGGAGCATTTATGGCGCATGCGTAGTTTGTAAAGTTTCTTGGGAGTGGAATGATTTAGACGAGTACACTGCTAGTGAAGCAGAATGTATTGGGAGACGAGAAAAGCCAGATCTAAGATACCAGTCCAGTTGATTGCTGAACGTAGATTAATGATGCGAGCTTCACCAAGGAAACTGTTGCAAGGGACAACAGGAGTAGTATTCCTCATGTTCTACACGACTCTTTTAATTTTCTGGGACCATCGAGATTCGTCAATGCCTAATCCGCCGAGGGACCAATTCAAGGCTCCCGGTGAGGAAGAACATCCCCTGGGATTTCAGGAGCGGGTACCTCGCTCCTTATCGGAGTCCGATTATCCCGTGGATGAACCAGGTTCAGATAACCGTACTTCTAATACAACTATTAATCAGGACTCGAACGCTAATTCAGTCGCTGTGAACACATTTCGTAAAAAGACGTCGAATAATGTCGATCTTAAAGATGTCTTCATTTCAATTAAAACAACCAAAAGTTTTCACCAGTCACGTCTAACCTGGATACTTAAGACTTGGTTCGTACTAGCTAAAGAACAGGTACAAATTTTAATCATCTGTTACTTTCGTGGTGCGAAATTTTAAGAAATAATAATAACAAAATATAGTAATGCTAGAATAAACGCTATATTTTTAGACTATGGCTTTGTTATGGCAATAACTACAATATGGCAGTATGCTTAGTTATATTAGATTATAACCATTGTTTTTATCGTAACTTTTTGTGTCTAAAGGTTTATTATATATTTTATAGTAACTTTTTTTAGTCTTAAGGTTTACTATATGTTTTATAGTAACTTTTTTAGCCTCACTTCCTCACAGTTTACTTAACCCATTGTTACTGAATGCTTACCCGTGTAATTATAGCTTCCTCAAATAGTTACATGGTAAACTATTAGAACCTTGTAATTTTATGTTAACATACGGATTACATTTGTTCAATTGTTCTACGTCATATTTCCATGCAGAACTGACTTTCGTGTGATTTTTTCTAGATTTTAATGAAAACTCCTTATGTTACTATACACATTTAAATATTTTCAAAGATATGTTATCTAATAGATTTGTTTAAAGGTTGTAATGCGATTGTTGTTCGTAAACCGTCTTTTAAAAGGAAGAGTAAGAAGGCAGAATTAGCAAGCACTTTGTGCTACCACAATATCATGATAATATTCAATCCTTTATAATTACAGCACATCATTAGCCGCAGTATCATGATAATATTCAATCCTTTATAATTACAGCACATCATTAGCCACAGTATCATGCTAATTTTCAATCCTTTATAATTACAGCACATCATTAGCTGCAGTATCATGATAACATTCAACCCTTTTATAATTACAGCACATCATTAGCCGCAGTATCATGATAATATTCAATCCTTTGATAATTACAGCACATCATTAGCCGCAGTATCATGATAATATTCAATCTTTTATAATTACGGCACATCATTAGCCACAGTATCATGCTAATTTTCAATCCTTTAGAATTACAGCACATCATTAGCCACAGTATCATGCTATTATTCAATTCTTTATAATTACAGCACATCATTAGCCACAGTATCGGGCTAATTTTCAACCCTTTTATAATTACAGCACATCATTAGCCACAGTATCATGCTAATTTTCAATCCTTTATAATTACAGCACATCATTAGCCACAGTATCGTGCTATTATTCAATTCTTTATAATTACAGCACATCATTAGCCACAGTATCATGCTAATATTCAATCCTTTAGAATTACAGCACACCATTAGCCGCAGTATCTTTATAGCACATTATTACAATTTAAACTAACGTAAAAAACAACAACACAAGAAACGTCAAACAGAAAAATAAAGCAACCAAAAAAAAAGGAAATAACCAGAGGAATGAGGAGCCACGCAATTAAATTAACATATTTCATAAATAAGTTTTTAATATTGAAAGAGTTATTGATAAGAGAAGATCCATCATGGTGCGTAACACGAGGAGACCTAGAGGTCGCTTTCTACACTGTTTTCTCACGGCCATTAGGCTCTAGCTCCATGACCCTTGCCAAGAAAGGAAGAAATCAAGCCCGTGAAGACAGAACTGAAGATAGATGTTCGGTTCCGTGGGAGAACTCACGACATGAGAAAAAGGTGACGAAATACGTTCACACGGGGTCATTAGGTAGACATTTTTATATGATGGCTTTTAGTTACCCCCTGTGGCTTAAAAAACTGTTTGAAATCTGAATGGACTAATCAACATCGAATAGTCTAAAAAACCGTTTGAAAATCAGCTGTAATATTACACGAGTCACTTACTAGTACAAATTTGAAGGTGAACGGTCTCAAATGAACTTTCGCAAAAGTTACAGAAGGTCTTCTGTTACTATTAGTTCAGGTAACGACATCTGATGCTTAACACATAGTAGTGTTTTGTTTTTAATAAGGCCCTATCAACCACGAGAATAATCTATTTTAAGTGCAGTCTTCGACACTAACCAAATCATTCAATTTATTTGATAACTAAGTGCAGTTCTCGACGCTAACCAAATCCTTCAATTTATCTTGTAACTAAATGCAGTCTTCGACACTAATCAGATCATTCAATTTATTTTTGTAACTAAGTGCAGTGTTCGACGCTAACCAATTCCTTTAACTTATTTTTATAACTAAGTGCAGTCTTCGACACTAACCAAATCCTTTAATTTATTTTGTAACTAAGGGCAGTCTTCGACACTAACGAAGTCCTTCAATTTATTTTGCAACTAAGTGCAGTGTTCGACGCTAACCAAATCCTTTAATTTATTTTTGTATCTAAGTGCAGTCTTCGACACTCACCAAATCCTTCAATTTAATTTGTAGCTAAAATCATACCTAGATATTTGCTTGTCTTCGCTGTTTTAATTTATTTCGGCTCATTTTACTGTTTTATTTTATTTTAAGCTACCATTCTAGTTCTTCGTTTTAAATTAATTTTCTAATTCCTTGTTTTTACTGCAACGGTTATTTATAAACAACGGACGCATGTTTGCCCTGTGGTAGAGCTCTGGCGAGCCAGGTTTGAATTCGTGTGGCATCACAAAAAATATTCCCCACACTGTAATCTTTGGATGCGTTATAAGAGTTACAGTGAATCATTCCTCAACGTGGTGGTGGATGATAGGGTGCTGCTGACTGGTCAGTAGTCTAAAATTAAGGCCGGCGGCAGATAGTCTTAGTTACTTTTACATGAACACAAATATAGATGAACAACCATCTCAGTAGCAGGTTTCTTTTTACATACACAGTAAAAAACAAAAATAAATGTTTTTATATTTCAGTACTTATCTGCATGTTGAAGCTGGAAAACGTTGGGTAGAATGAAAAAGAATACCCTTTCTTCATGGTGGTCCAAAATTCCAAACTCTCGTGGCAGTGCTCTAGAGGGGACATATGTGTGTGCTCATGACAGTGAAAGGGTTTAAAAAAACGTTTCCTGTGCTTACTAGTTTCTCTTGCTTGTCTTCTCCGTTTTTGTCTTACCGCGATTTACTTCCTCGACTGACGAACGTATTTACGCTTTGTTTGTTTCTTTTCTTTGTCAGTTTACATAACCTTTTGCGTTAAACTTTCGTTTATCTCTTATGTAGTTCACCCTGCGCCTTTCTTAAACTTTTAGCGTGGCCTACGTAATGGATTATCTTTTCTTGTCTGCTTCTTGTCCTATAACTGGTAAGGATTTTTTGCATATACGTATTTTCACTTACATACTAGTGCTCTATAACTGCTTATTACAGTTGAAATATGTCGGAGGAATAACTCATTTTAAGACAAAGTAAGTGAGGTAAAAGTATGGCAGTGAAAGGAATTACCTTCGAAATTTCAAGAAAAATTATATGTGTTAACCACAGTTACGTTTTCTGATTCTTATATTTCCCATGTGCGAAAGTATCCAGTAAGGTCTCGATGTTATAATGTTGTGTCACAACCTGAAATAAAACTACGATCTAGAGTTCGTTCAGTGTTTAGTGACGTATATTTTGCGTTTTAGTCAAGTACAGCCTTCCACAAATATTTGTTTGTTTTTAAGTGCAAAACTACACAATGGGCTATCTGCGCTATGTCCACAATAGGTATCGAACCCAGAGATTTACCGCTGAGCTACTGGGTACCCGTTCCACAACAAAAGGGTTCGTCAGCTTTAGTGTATAATAGTAAACCATAGTAATTCAAACAATAAGATAAAGAAATAAATAACCAGTGTTCAAAAATCATAATAGTATTGTGTTACTGATAATCCTTACCCTAAAATATAATTTGTAAATGACTTAAATAAGAATGATAATAATTAAAATTCACTTATTTAGTTCATACCATAACAGTCGTTGTTCATGAAAACTGATTAACTAACACCTAGATCACCAACTATATCTGTGCCCCCCTCAGTGACACAGCGGTATGTCTGTGGACTTACAACGCTATAATCCGAGTTTCGATACCCGTGGTGGGCAGAGCACAGATAGTCCATTGTGTAGCTTTGTGGTGAATTAGAAACAAACTATATCTGTCATATCCCACCCGGCCTGATGAGCCCTGGTATTGGCAAAAGGCTTCGTCAGCACTGGATATGGCAGATGTGGTATGTTAACATATTCTTCTTTACTTTCACTCATGAGTTCTGAGAATTACTTACGAAGTTACTAATCATTAGATGTGTTTACTTACTTAACCAACATGAGTTTCCAATATAGCAATATCCGTGTACATTCTTGTTTACCGTCAAATTATTACCCACGTCTGATGAGTACTTGTACAAAGAAAACAGTTTTATTAATACCCTCATCTGTTTGTGACGAAAATGATAAAGCAGTGCCATCAGTTTAAATGTGCCTATTGAATCTGTAATGTATTAATCTAAATTTATCTGACTAATCTTAAATGCTTTCAGCAGAGTGAAATAAGGGTAATATTATATGTTATCATATTTAAATACAGGGGCATATACAAATATTGTCACAGCGCCCTGTTTTGTTTTAAACTAAGAGGGATTAGATACGATGAGGATTATGTGTTTTAGTATTATACAAGTGTTCTCAGGATAAGCCTACAATTTTGATAAATGTACAAATAACCTTAACGTGGTGTGGATACACTTATGACTAGAGTATATGGACATGGTAAAAAAAAATTAAAAGTCAGTCATAAAACCAGGTTAATACATTGGTGGTCTATACACCTGGTAACCTTGATAGGTTTACTGACCCTGAGCCCACATGACCAATTTGTTTTCGGTGGGTAACGCGAAAGTTGCGCATATTTTTGCACAGATGATTGTCACGCGCGATACTATATGGTAATAGTTTCCGCAAATAACTAGTTTTCTAGCCCGTGTCGTCAGGCTCTGTTCTATGTGATGCGTGACTCTCTGGAATGGCACACCTGCTTTGATTGACAGATACACAGAAAACAAGCAAGCACGTGCCCACCGTAATCTTTGAATGTAAGCTTTTATTTTGCACGCGCGGCTTCCTGTTTTCTCTCTTCTTTCAAACTTATCCCACAACAAACATAAAAAATA